TATTATAAACTTACTTTTATATTGTTTTATTATAAACATAAACTTTTAAACATAAGCTGAAAAGTCTGAAATTGAAAAAATGTTTTGAAATTTTATATGCAAATCCCCTTGTGCTTTTATTCAAAACATCAATAATTTCAAAAGCATGTAAAATTTCGAAATCAACTTTTGCAATTGTCATAAAACATTTTCAGGAGAACAAAACATATACAGAAAGTAGGAAAAAATTTAATGACAAAGAGAAATAGAAATTTTTAGTTCTTTCGGTTTATCGAAATCCAGTAAAATCGCAACATAATTTATCAACAAAGTTACTGAATCATGTAATAGATTTCATTCAAAGAGTATTGAAAAAAATAATATCTGAAAGCTTACCTCGCAAAAAAAATATCGAAAAAAGCCACTTTATGGAAAAATTAAAGCAATTCGACGGGCTAAAAATTTGCTTAAATTAGTGACGAAAAAATTGGTGCATTTTAGAGAACATTATAACTTACAGTAAAGACGATCACTCGATACTTCCAGGTAATCAACATTATTACCAGTCAAAATGTCATAGAGTGTCTAACACATTTAAGTACTAATTTTATAACAAATTAAACTTTGAATTGAATGCAGATATTTTTTTGAAAGATTCTAACCAATGAAGAGGCAGAAGAAGATATCTGATTTGCCAATGACCGTTCTGCTAATGCTTTTATTAATGATGAGATTTTTAGCAAATTGGTGTATTTAAGGTGATTTTTCAACCTTTCTTAAATAAAATGTTACTAACTAATGATACTGCTAATCGTTTACAGCCCATCAAATCCGAAGGAATTCAGATCGGCACAAAGGAATGGTGCGTAGCTGACGTAAGGTCAGCAAAACTTTGCTTTTGTTTTTTTTGCATTTTGTTACAAACGGGTTAATGATTAATTAATTATAAAATAACTTAATTATACTTTAATTTTAGGCATATTACAACTTGGTTAATCCTAAAGTTAAGCAGTCTAGATTATATTAGGCGACCTAGATTTTAACCAAGGAGAAGGAAGATAGCGCTCTTGTTCGCTCTTTTCCACAACCGTACGTCCTGACGCATGGCTTGAATCTAGCGTCAAGTGGAACTGGTGTCAGTTTTACGAAATTGTGTGTATTAAACGATTCATTTAAACCAATGAAGATCAAAAACTTTTATATTTTTACTAAAAAGTAGCAAATTATTGTAACCAAGCATATATATATATATATATATATATATATATATATATATATATATATATATATATATATATATATATATATATATATATATATATATATATATATATATATATATATATATATATATATATATATATATGTATATATATATATATATATATGTATATATATATATATATATATATATATATATATATATATATATATATATATATATATATATATATATATATATATATATATATATATTGAAAATTTAACAAAGAAATTTTTAAAATTAGTTTTGTTAAAACAAAGCTACGATCTCTTTTTCCATAATTATTATTCAGTCCTATATCATTAACACAGCTGAGTTATTTCACAGTATTTTATTACAGAATATGGTCAATAAGTTAATATCAATCTAGAATTTAGTACATATGTGTGATTGATGATAGTTACGAAAATATTTATAAATTATTATAATATGCTTTACTATAGACTTCGGAGAAACAATTTTTCAACCTTTTCAACCAAATTTAAATGATGAGCAGAGCAACCATATTTTATCAACTTAGGGGCTGCAGCCTGCAAAAGTTTTCTCATTTTAGACATTTTATTTTCGTTGTCAGTGCATACTGAAAATACCTAAACAATATATATCCATATATATATATATATATATATATATATATATATATATATATATATATATATATATATATATATATATATATATATATATATATATATATATATATATATATATATGTATGTGTGTGTGTGTGTGTGTGTGTGTGTGTGTGTGTGTGTGTGTGTGTATGTGTGTATGTATATATATATATTAAATTAAACAGCTAAACATCTAATACTCACTTCTTTATTAAAAGTTTCTTTAGCAATTTTGATTGCATCCTAAGAAGCCTAAGCGCAACATTCGGCTGTTTTTGATTGGCTTCTAGTGTCAATTACAGAAATGAGATAGGGGTTTATTTCCATTATGGATACTATAAGCAATTATAGGATCATTACTGACTGTACTCCAACCATCTCATTAAGGTAACAGCACAACCATCAGTAAGATCATTTTTCATTAAATTCTTTGCTTCTTTGTTTGTCTTTACTAAGATTTCTGAAGATATTTGTTTTCTATTTGGCGGCTCGCATCCAGGTCTAAATTTTTTAAGCAGCATTGTAAATTCAAGATATTCTACTTTGTTGAATGGTATATTTGCTGAAAAGAAAACCGTGCAACTTGCAAATCCAGTTCATCCTTCTGGTTACATGATGTTGTAGTAACAAATTTAGAAATCATTGTTTGCAGTTGCATCATCGTTGCATCGTTGAATGAACAATTGAAGAATAAGAAGCATCACTAATAAAGCTTAAAAAATTTTGCTTATTATCATCTGACTTGTTAGACTTATTTGATGCTGCAGATGTAGATGGCCTTGACTCTAAAACTGATATATCGCTTTATACTTCAGCGGAATTATTCTTCCTTTTTTCTTTCTTCTGCATTTATCCAAATGGATGTTAACTCTGTTTTTTAAATTATGATTACTTAGCAATAATTACATATTACTCTATTTGGTTGATCGCTTAATATGGTCACTTACTAGTTCATCATTCCACTCACTAATCTTATTTCTTCCCCATGAATGATACTTTGGCATGTTGAAGACGTATAATCTACTTACATTTAAATTTCACTAAAAAGATAACACTATTTAAAAATAGCTATATATTAGAAAAAAATTCAATCTGATTATTCATTAAGCTATAAGTATGATTTTTTAGTAGTAAATATGAATCAAGTTGTATCCATAATAAGATTTATTGCAAATAGCATTCTTGCAATAAAAGCTTCAATTCTACGCTTTACTGTAGCATCACAACTCATGGCAATATTTTTAAAGCTTTTGATGCATGACTGCGGTAATTTATTGATTGAAGATTTTATTATTAATTTTTCTCTAATGCTATAACTTTTATTCCTTTTTGCGATTAACTACAAAATGTGGTAAAAGCAAGTAATCTATCTTAGTTTGTTGCGCTTTGTTTTTTAAATGATCAATAATCGTTAACCGATTAATGAACTTTTTATATAACTCTTGAAAATATCTAATAGATTAAATAAATTTATCATTTAAATGTTTTGCAGACAGAAGTTCTGGTTTCATTGCCTCATTTGATAGCGTTTTAATAAACACATTGGGTTTTGTTTATTAATAATGCTTTTGATGATACCAAATTTGAAATATTTCGGTGAATAGAAACGAGCGCATTTTTTCGGAGGACATTCGTAAAGTTTTTTAAATTTTTCTGTAAAATAATATTAATATAACTTGACGTGAAAATCTATCAATATACTGACAAATGGTTTCAAGTTGAGAATATTTTTTATTTACCGGTGATTCGATATTGAAACCTTTTTATAATAACCAAAGTGATTTTTATTTATATATCGTTGTTTTTGTCACTAAAGCAATTATAAATACAGCTGTAGCGCAGTAGTTAGAGTTCTGGCTGAGAAAAAAGAGGTCCGAGGTAAGACGCCGGCTCTTATTAACCACAAACAAAAAAAAAAAAAAAAAAAGCAATTCTTTTTAATATTAATTTTTTTTAAGGAAAAATTCTAAACGTTAAAAACAGATAATAAAAAAATTCCTACCGTCCACAAAAAATCACTCCGCCCACCAGTGAATGTTAGGACTAGGTTGATTAACACTAATTTAAAGGCATGCAGCATTCTAAATCAAGCATATAAGTTTACCTAGTTACCTGATAACCAAATAAGTCCATATCATCTCTAATCTACCTTATGTAAAAAAAAAACAACTTAAATATCTTACATAAAGTTACATAAAGTTACATAAATAAATTGTTTAACCCTGAGAAAGCATTAAAAACCATATCTTTCTTGTAATCTAACATCCGAAAATTTGATTTAAAAGTCAGCTTTATGATATCTTTATGATATTTATTTAAAAAGTAGAAGAGCCAAAATAAGTAAACGTTATACGTCAGGTTTAGGGTTAGGGTTAGGCGTTATAAAGCCTTGTCTTTTGTGCATTATGTGCAAAGATTATATTTTGATTTGATTGATCATTTCAATAAGTGTCAAAAATAAAATGCACCAAGTGCATTTTCTTTTAATAAATAAAAGTTGGTTTTTAATTTTAAAGCATTTTATTTTTGCATAAAAATGGAAAAACCGTTCATATTAGATGTTTTCAAAGTTGTAATTATTAAAGAGTTTTCAACAAGGGATGGGCGAGGGAAGGAGGTGGATGGGGGAAGAAGCAAGAAAGAGGGAGGGGTTGAAATCAAGAGGCTAATACTTTTATTGTTAAGCACAGTTATATTAATAAAAGACATTGAACTGTAATATTACTGTTAATGTATACTAAAAATTTTTATATTTATACTATAAATACTTATACTGTAATATTTGTAATATTACAGTAAGAGTATACTTAAAATTAATAGTCCATGCTTTTATATAAAAATGCGACCATCTAATGCACATGCTGATCTTGTAAGCTCATAAAATTGGATTCTTTTTTCCCCCATTGTAATGTAAGGTTTTTTATAGTTGCATGTGTTGCGCTTAAATTACCTATTTTACAGTAATGAGTGAACGAGTGCTTAATGATAGTAAATTAACAGCAGTATCACAAAAATCTTCCAACGTTTTTCTTAAAAAAACTCTACTCAAGTACCTCATGTCTCTTGGCATATATAAGTAAATATCTTTTAATATTGCCACTTATTATGTCGTTTTAAAAACATTTATTTGTCTTTTTGCTTAGACTTTTGGAGTTCGTAAACGTGGGAACAACGGAATTAATAAAGATTTTTGACGTTGGAGAAAAGAAGTTTGTGCCTTCAAATTAGTTGTTTTTACAAAATAGAAAGTTGTTATAAGTGAGTTATTTTCAAAAATGTTGCGTTCAATGATAAACTATGGTTTTAGTTTTATTATTATGGCAAACCAATTAAGTTGCTTCTTTATTGATCGATCTCTATACGGTGATTTTATAATTGGAAATTCAACCATCTGCTCTGGACCAATGTTTTGTCTCTGTCCAAACAGCACATTTCTCTCCTATAACTACTCATCGCTCCATTGTGGAAACTCATTAGAAGGTAAGCGAAGTTTCTATCAAGTTAATAAAACAGTAGCAACAAAACTTGTATAAAAACTAAAATGCTTTTAACAGACTATATCTTTGGAATAGAAATAAAAAAAAAAAAAAAAACTCAAAACAAATTTATAATAAACATAATTATTAAAAAAAAGATATATATATATATATGTAATATATACTTATATTCTTTACGAAACCCGAATCACATAATAAAATGAAGAAGAAATGTACTTTTTTAAGAAGTCTTTATTTCTTTGCATTCATGTATATTGTTACAATTAATGTGATAAGAACTATGATTCAATTTTTTTTTTTTAATCTTTCAACGTGTCCTTACAAACTTTAAATTTGAGGGGGTCACAAATATTTGTATAGTCATAATTTTTGAACGCTAAGAGATTATACTAAGAAACTTAAAATTTATTGATGAATATACGTTTATTTGAGAAAAGAAAAAAAAACTTTTGTTTTATCAACTTGTTGCTCTCACGTTTGGGGTGAGGGGGCGAAAGTGTTGAGACTTTTTTGTTCCCAAGTTCCAATCATCTCAATTTTTTGAAAAACTTATTTGACGCAAGTATAAACATTTAAATGTTTGGAATTTGGTCCATGTCTAAAAGACACCTCTCCCAAACACTAAAATATTCTTCCTACGCCACTTGTTCTTAAGCCGCTTTAGATACCGCTTCAAAAACCGCTTTAAGGTGGTATCCAGCCATTAGTTCTATTTTTTTATATTTTACACATAATAAATACCTATGATGAATTACTAGCATAATAGATAAAAATCTAAAACGTAATGCAATTTTTTTTTTTAAATTAATAAAATATAATTGCTGACTCAGCAAAAAAAGGTGAAAATGTTAAGGTAACAAGAACATAAATATCTTAAGAATAAATCAATATTAAAGGTTTAAATTTTGCAAAAAGCTAGTACACTAGTGTAGCTAGTGCCTGAACCAAAAATTTTTGAAAAAAATTTGAACAATCAAAAATGGCAGACTTAATGATATAAAAAACTATTTTTTAGCGATAAAATACTAATTAGATATGGTAATTGTAGATTAAGCTTAATTTTTTTAATCGTTTTTTCAGGTTCAGGCACTAAAAACATCAATAATGAACATATCCTGAAAATTTGAAGCTAAAACAATGTTTTTTTATTGAGATATCATTGTTTTGCTACAGCCACCCGTACAAAAAACAAAAATTGAGAAAAATCAATTTATAAATTATAAATCATGTATACTACTCAGATAAATCAATTATACTACTCAGATACTACTCAGATAAATAAATTATTTTTGAAAAAATTTTTTTTTTATTGAATTCTACAATGTTCAATTGTATGAATAACATTTTTTCAAAATTTTCATTTTTTTTTTTATTTTTCACCAAAATAATGGCTGGATACCACCTTAAAAGATTCTTAAACCGCTTTAAATTATCAAACATTATAACATATTTACAATAATTTTTGCATAAAATCATTTCATTATAATGGCAGTAAAATGTTAGGTAACAAGCATACAAATATATTTATCATACTTTTTCTAAAAATAATTACATGTTTATTGCCAGTCCAATGTTCAATATATATATATATATATATATATATATATATATATATATATATATATATATATATATATATATATATATATATATATATATATATATATATATATATATATATATATATATATATATATATATATATATATATATATATATATATATATATATATTAAAAATAAGAAGTTAAGAATACGTTTAGAAAAAAGTCAGTTACAGTTTTTATACTTTAAAGAACTACTTTTAATATTTTTTGTGGAAAAGTTTAAGTTTTCAAAATCATTAATATTTAGATTGAGTAATTAATTAGATTAGGAAATAAACTGTTCAAATATGATGTTCACGGTAATCAGTTTATACCAGTTAGACTTTTTTAAGAGTTGTTTTGAAATAACATTTGTAAAATTTTGATGAAAATACTTGCAGAGGTACAAAAGTTTTAGAAAGTTTTAGAAAAGAGGTAGAAAAGTTTTGGCCGAAAGAGAAAAAATGTGATGAAGGGGAGTTCTTTAAAGAGCAGTTTTTTTTTTACTGCATTTTCAAATTAGATCTCATCTAAGTTGTCATTAAGTGTGACAAGGATCATTGATATAAATAAGATTTCCTTGTAAAGCAAGTTATTCAAGAATAATTTCCTTGTAATATATGTAAATATTTCTTTAAATATAATAGCTTTTATTCAATAATATTTGTGAGTATGTTAAGTGAATTGTTATTCAATAACATACTCACAAATTCAATAATAAAAGGAACCAACATTTTTCTAAACGAAGATTTTAGTTTTACAACGCGAAAAATTCGAAAAGAACTTTTTGATAAAGCGAAGATACATCGTCAAAATGGCTATTACGCAAAAGTTGTTTACATCAAACTTATTGTGCTTTTCAAATAATAATTATATAAGTCTCTTCATTGAAATTATTAATAAAAAATACCGAAATATTTTAATTGGATGTGTTTATCGTCCACCAAATGGAAAAATAAAAAACTTCGAAACTTTTATCAAAAATACAATTATGAAAATAAATAAAGAAGATAAAACATTATATATTACTGGTGACATAAATCTTGATGTTTTATCTAACACTAAATTTCCAAAAATAAAATCTTTTTTTGATATGCTTTTTAAGTTTAATGTCTTGTCAACTATTAATAAACCAACGCGTGTAACAAAAATTTCGGCAACAGCAATAGACAATATTTTAATTAACAATTATATAGAAACGACATTCGAAACTGGTATATTTAAGGCAGATATAAGCGATCATTTCCCGATATTCTTAAAAATAAAAAACTATAAATCTAAGTCTGACTGTCAATCTAAAACCATATACTTGAAAAAACGAAATGAGTAACACTGATAAGTTAACAAGTAGGCTAAAACAAGAAACTTGGAACAACGTATATAAATGTCAAGATACTAATGAAGCTTACAATGCTTTTTTAAGTACATTTTTGGAGTATTTTAACGAAACCTGTCCGCAAGAGATTATAAAAATTAAGTCAAAAGCTCTGGCTAATCCGTGGATGGATAAAAAATTATTAAAGTGCTCAAAAAAAAAGCAAAAACTTTACAATAAATTTCTGAAAAATAAAAACAATAACAATGAAAAAAATTACAAAAGTTATAAATATTTTTACCAAGATCTCATTAAAAATGCCCAAAAAAAATATTACAGTAATCAAATTAAAAAATGTAAATTTGATAGCAAAAAAACATGGTCCATCCTTAATGCAATAATGGGAAGAGAAAAACTAAATTCATCTTCACTACCTAAACGAATTGTTATTGATAACAATGATATATTTTGTCAAAAACTCATCTCGGATGAATTTAATAAATATTTTATTAGTATTGGTCCGAATCTTGTCAAAAAAGTACCAACATTTGAATCATTTAAAACCTACCTAAAACTCGTAAATAACGCTATCATGCATGATTTTGAATTAAACTATAAAGAACTTGAGGAAGCTTTTTCCTCTCTAAAAAAAAATAAGCCCCAAGGTTTGATGAAATATCTAGTGATATAATTATTGCAAACAAACACAGTCTTAATAGACCTCTGTTTCATATACTTAAACTCTAATTAAGTTCTGGAATTTTTCCGGATGTACGTAAATTAGAAAAAGTTACTCCATTATACAAATGTAATGATCATTCTGACATTACAAACTACAGACCTATATCAATACTTTCTGTATTTTCAAAACTCTTCGAACGTGTAGTTTATAATAGAATCTATGATTACTTTATTAAAAACAATTTTTTTTACCCAAATCAATTTGGTTTTCAAAATAATATTTCGAATAAGCCTGTAATCATTGAAATAGTAAACCAAATAACTAATGGTTTTGAAAAAATGAATTTTATTTAGGAATATTTCTTGATTAATAAAAACCATTTGGTGCAGTGGATTTTTGCATCCAGGTAGATACCCTAATACATATCGGAAAAATTAATAAAATTTATTACCGGATTAAATGCTATCTAACTAACATAGAGCAATATGTGCATATTGTCCTATCTGGAGTAATCAATGTCTTTGGAGAAGTTCCTCAAGGATCAATTCTTGGTCCACTCCTTTTTCTTATATATATAAATGACTTCTGTAATGCAAGTTTTAAAACTAAATTCAATCATGTTTGCGGATGAAACTAATCTATTTATTATAAACAATAATATCAAAAAACTATATGCGGATATGAATATTGAACTAAATAAAGTAAACAATTGGTTTAAGGCTGACAGACTCTCGCTTAATGTATTTTATATGGCGAAGCCAGGATAACTTTTCATTAAAAATAATTCCTGAGAATCTTATACTTTTTTTTTTAGTTTTTCTTTTTGATTAGTTTATCATTTAGGAAAAGGTCAGGCAATTTAAGAGGAAGATTTTCTCTTGTGCTTTTTTCATGAAGTAGTACATATTTTATTTTCTCTGCATCCAGTCAAAATTAACAAAAATCATAGGTTTAATGCATTGAGTTCGCTCTAACATCAATACAATGTCTTGAATTAATCTACTTTGAACTAATTCATAGCTTCATTAGCTATGCAAACATTTCATGGGCAAGTACTCAAACATCAAAGCTTAAAAAACTGTATAGTTTACAAAAACATGCTTGCAGAATCATTTACTATAAGGGTAGGCGTGAACACGCTAAACCCTTAATAAAAGATATGAAAATGATGAATGTATATGAAATAAATATCTATTAGCATTTAATTTTCATGTATCGTTGCAATTACAATATCTCTCCTATAAGCTTTAATAATAAGTTTGAAATAAATAAAAATGACAACTATAATCTTAGAGCAAATATGTTGAACACATATAAACTGCCTCGGATAATAAATAAATATTCAGAATATTGCATTTCATATCGAGGTCCTAAAGTATGGAATACCTTTCACAAAGGATT